AAAGAGTGTGGTGAAGCCACTGAAAAGGCTGTTGAAGAAGTTGTCGAAGCCACCGGCGAGAAGAAACCAGAAGAGAATGTTGCTGAGGAAGTGAAGGAGCCGACATCTACTGGCCCTGCAGAGGAAGAGCATACGAAGAAGGCTGATGTTTCTGAATCAACAGAGGAGGTCAAAGTGAAAGAGGAGGAACCCATTGATATTCATCCAGTTAAAGATGTCTCCGAGGAGACAGCGGAAGACGGCATCAAAGTTTCCGAGGCTGTCTCAGAAGAGGTGAAAAGTGAGACAACTGCAGTAGAGGTTCCTGAAGTTGAGGCAAAGCCAGAGGTTGCTGAACAAGTGGAGACTGTTCCTGTGGAAGTGAAGGAATCAATGTCAGAAGTTGATGTAAAGCCAGAGGAAAACCCTAAAACGACGGAACAAGTTGAGGTTGAGCCTCAGGCCAAACCGGAGGAGAAAACTGTTGAGACCGTGGACTCGGTTATCACCTCCAAGGACGAAAAACCTTCGGAGGAAGAAAAACATACTTCCACAGAGTGCCCTGAGCAAATTGTAGTTACAAACAAAGATTCTGTCTCTGAGCTGAAAAAGGAGACTGAAGAGGGAGCTTCTTCTGTGGTTGAAGTGGTTGAGAATGTTAGCACTGAAGACAAAGAGAAACATGTGGTGGAAGAACCATCAAAGGAGGAGAAAGAGAATGTGAGTGAAGATAAAGCAGTGTTAAATAACCCTGCTAAAGAAGATGAGACCATCATAAAAGACGCTGAACCTGCTTCAGATGAAAAGTGTGCAGAGACATCGAAAGAAACTGATACAGAATCCAAAGAGAAAGAAGATGCAGTAAAGAAACAAGAGGAATTGGCTACAGAAACAGCACCTGAAGTTAAGAACACCGAGATATCGAGTAAAGAGAGCGGAGAGAAGAAACAAGAACCAGAAGTCACCGCCAAAGAAGTTTCTGCAAAGCCAAAGCATTCAAACAACATCATATCCAAGGTAAAGCAGTCCTTTGCAAAGGCAAAGAAAGCAATCATCGGAAAATCCCCAAGCTCAAAGACTATCTCTAATGAAGCCAAAGAGGAAATCAAGGTTAAGTGATAATGGAGTAATGGGATAAAGCTCAGCATGATATTGATTCCTGATCTGTTCCTTACAAGTATTTGGTGTCTCTGCTTCATGTGGGAAAAAAACAAAAGGACATTCTTTCATTTTCTTTGTTGTTTAGTTACATATATCATCGTGTTGTGTGGTTATTTCTATGAACCTAAAGTGATTGCCTTGTGTTATGGATTTGTGTGAATATTTTTCTTCTTTTCTCCAAGTCTTTGTATGCCTCGAACAAATAATAGCTGCAAAACTGCAACAGGAAAACTGACAGTTTAATCAGATAAAAAGGGATCAAAATAATCCCCCAAAAATTTTGAAATCAACTTAAAGAAGATGTCAACAATTTGGCTACCAGAAGTCTCCACAAGAGCATGATCCTTCGGAGAACCGATGGAATCTATTGACATCCCTAACAAAGATTTCTCTCCCAAAAATCCCAGAAGCAAATTTCATTACAGTATGACAATCACCACATGTCCTGAGGTTCTTTTTTATCCTCATAGGAGCTCCAGGAGGGGGTTCAAGAAGTCCAAAAGCAAGGGATAGTCTCTCACTGTGATACCACAAGTTCTGATCTTTTCTTTGTTCTGTGCTGTTCACTGCAAACTGGATTTCAGCCTCATATCCTTTACTCTTTACCAATTCTTCTGACTTCTTTAACATTTTATGTATCTCATCCATCCTTGGATGTGATCGATCTTCGACAGTAAACACATAGGTCTTGTTTTTACATCAATCCAGATCTGACCTGGTTCTTTTCTCACTTGATTCAAACCCATCAATCTTCTAACTTCATCAGCTTCTTTCAGTTTTCCGTTTCGGGAATAAAGGTTAGCAAGAAGCACATAATTTCCGGGGTTATTAGGTTCCAGCTCAAAAAGCTTCCCCGCAGTTTCTTTACCCACTTCAAGATTTCTGTAAATCATACAGGCACTGAGCAGTGCTCCCCAGACCGAGGAGTTGGGTTCAATAGGCATTGATTTTATGACGCTCATTGCCTCTTCTAGTTGACCAGAGCGGGCAATCAAGTCAACAATGCAAGCATAGTGCTCGTGTCTGGGGGGTTATATCATGCATCTTTGCCATGGAATCAAAGTAAGCACGTCCTTCTGTTACACATCCAGCATGAGCACAAGCTGGCAGCACAGACACGAACGTTATTTCATTTGGTTTAATCCCTTCTCCAATCATTTTCTCAAACGTTTCAGCTGCTTCTGCTGCACAGCCATGCTGTTGAAAAGAGGTTATCATGGCACACCAACAAACCGTATTGCGGTTCTCAATCTCCTCAAAGACTTGGCAGGCATCAGGCAAGCTCCCGCATTTGGCATACATAATAATCAATGAGTTCTGAATATGACTGGTATTTGTAAATCCTGCTTTTATGATATGAGCATGTATTACAGCACCTAGAACTAATGATGCAAAATCAGCAGAAGCATTCAGAACGGTGGAGTACGAAGCTTCATCCGGTAGCACACCTTCCCTTCTCATGGCCTGGAAGACGGCACACACCTCTTCAAAATTCTTGTTCCACACAAGGCCCATCAACATAACATTCCATGAAATAACATCTCTTTCTGCCACCATCTCAAATAATTTACCAGCATCACAGAAGAACCCACATTTGATATACATGTCAATCAGGGAATTATTCACATACGAAAGATCCTTCAACCCGTATTTGATACCAATCCCATGGACCTGTTTCCCAACTTCTAGGCTTCCCGCCTTAGAGCAGGCACTCAACATACTTGAAAAACTGGCTTGATCAGGAAATATAAACCCTTCCCTTAAAACCTCTCTAAATCTACAAAAACATTCCTCGTACAACTTGCTCTGAAACGAACCCATGATCATAGAATTCCAGGAGACGAGGTTTCTCTCAGGCATTTCATCAAACACCTTCCCCGCGGACACATATTCCCACACTTGGCATACATGTCAACCAAACCGCTACCAACAAAGACATGATAGTCAAACCCATGTTTCAAAACGAGGCCATGGATCGGCTCTCCATGAGACAAGACCGTAGTCTGCGCACAAGACAGCAGAGAAAGTGAAGTAATTTGGGTACAGACCAGAGGATCTCATCTTGTTGAAAAACATCAGAGCATCCAAGGGCCGATGGAGACGATAGAAGTGGGTGATAATCGACGCGAAAGAGATGACATTCTTGACGAAATCATCTGTGGAAGAGAAAAGTAGCAAGCTTTGATCGATGTGGCCACATTTAGCGTATGAACTGAGGAGGTTTTAACAAAAAAAAAAAAGAGCTGAGAGTGAGAGATAAGATTGAGAGATACGATTCGAGCGTGGATTTGAGTAACGTGGCGCAATGACCGTGTCGAGGAAATAGAGCTGAGCAGGTTGCTGAGTCGGACAACGACGGAGACGGCGCATTGCTGGTCGGAACAGAGTGAGAGATGGATGAAGCTGTTTCCATGGAGTTTTGGAGGGAAAATCAGATTCATGTCAATTTCACATTTCGGTTATCAATTATCATCGTTGAACCCGTAACCGGTAAATCAATACACAACGACCCATCTCAAATGGGCCATCAACGCAGATGGGCTTTCTTTGGCCCAAACAAATACCAATGGTGTATACACTTGTATATATATGTGTTAAATTAATTGCTTCATTTAATATAATTTATAGAAAAAATAAATTTATAATATTTTTTGTCACGGCAGTGTTATAATTCTTTAAATTTTAAAAGATTTTATAATTCTTCTTGCTTTTTTTTTTTCAGTACTAGCATTGTTCTAATGAAATACGTTGATATGTTTGAATTTTCTGCGTGCGTGTGTGTTGCCACGTGTACTTGTGACTCAGCTTTGGACACCAAACAGCAATTCTAGAAACTTTGAAGCAAGATGTCACGCATTCATTGGCTAACAGATAATTCAAAAGGATTATGATAAATCATCTTTGATTAAGACATTTATTATCCTAATCCAAAATATTAAAACTTTAATAAATAAATTACGGTGTCGAATCAATCGAAATGGGGTTTGAATTAATCAATTAGCCTCTTTATATCTACGAGTGATCCGTGGAAAGATGGCAACTTTAATCAACAAAGAACATATGCCATGACAGACGAAAAACCTCTGTATATTCCAACAGCTAAGCTTTCTTACAACTTTAATTGCAATTACATTTATAACAATATTAAAACTTTACTAAAAGGTTATATATATATATATATATATATATATATATATATATGTTAAATCCATACTCCGACCTATCCACGAAATAGTACAATGAATGTTATCAGAAAACTAATTAATTAAAATCGGAATTGTTTTTAAGACCCTTTTGTTTTGTGTATATAAATGGAATCCGAATCCTTAAAAGCGATGGACCAGTAACAGCAAGACGCAGCATGGGTTTGCATGTGATAGGTCGGCATGTTACGGGAAAATGGGTTTTAAGATATGCATGTGGACGTCACACGTGTCACGATGTGATTGGAGAGAGACCTCCGCCGGCCTCCACGGCGGCGAGTGTCCCGGCCCACATTCTCACTTCGCCGACAATCTCTCCGCCGTGTCTCGATATATAGACACACACATGTATTACTTTGTATTGCTCATATTATGTATATATACATACATGCAATAATGTACATTTGCACAAATCATAATTAATCATGGGGAGCCATATATCATTTATAACCTCCATTTTATTCATGAAATGGGTCTAGGCTTTTATTACCTTTTTGGGAACTGAAAAATATTCGAGAGAGAAAAAAATATACGCAAATTAAATTGATATTATGATTAAATCCGTTATTTTTAACTTCGATATACAACATCACATAACGGACGACACTTAAAAAAGACGAAATTCTATCTGAATGATATAGTAGAAAGATTAACTCTCCGTTAAACTTAGATTACTGAATCATTTGTTTTAAATAATCCTATATATAGTTTAATTGAAATATATATTGGTACGTATACACCCTATTTCCCTATGGAATGGGTCTAGACCAAAAAATTGATAAATGAGTTCTGCCTCAAATGAAAAATATTTTGTTTTAAATAGAAAATTAAGCCTAAGATTTAATGTTTTCTAATACATTTAAAAGGGCAAATTTAAAAAAAAATGGACACGTATCAAATTTTACCTATATATCCAAAACTGTACTTTTTTTTATATATAATAATATTAGAAGCTCAACGCGTAATCAAAAGCATTTCACATTCATATGGACCGACATGTGAAAATTGAATTCAAATATCAGAGTGAAGAAAAAGATAGAGAAAAGCACCACGTGGCTCATCAAATTCTCAAGAAAAAAAAAAAAGTGGGCCTATATATAGTGAGAGGAACACCACTTGGAACCACTCATTACAAAACTTAAAAACATTAAAAGTGAGATTGAATTCGAAGCTTAAACACTTCTCTGCAGATTCAAGAAAGAAGAAGAAGAAGAAGAAGATGGCAGACGGCTCGACGGCGACTTGCGTAGATATTCTTCTTGCCATTCTATTGCCTCCCCTCGGCGTCTTTCTCAAATTCGGTTGCAAGGTATATTACAAATATTTGTATAAGAAATTTATTAAATATATGTATCTAGGGTTTTTATCTATCTTTATCAATCTATAACTATTTTTTTAATTCACTCGTGTCAATAGATATCATGTAATTCACTTATATCAATACGTGGGATACGTTTTTTCTATATAACCCATGCAAGGTTTCTAGTTTCTGTTTTCGCCATTTGATAACGTTTCCTTGGAAGTTTTATGAATCGAAAAAAAAACCCTTGATGGATTGAAGTAGCCGCATAGAGGAAGTCTGAAAATTCCCTTGCACAAATGGGTGGTCGAATATGTTTTGCTATAACCTATGGTTTTGAGAGGCGAATAATTATAATTGACATGTTAATATATATGCATATATATATATATATATATATGTATGTTCATGGAAATCCGCGTCGGTGTTATACGTGTGCAGGCGGAGTTTTGGATATGTTTGGTGCTGACGCTATTTGGTTATCTTCCTGGAATCATATATGCTATTTATGCCATCACCAAGAACTGATCCTATCTTGAACCGCCTCTTCTTCTCCATGTAATCTCTCTCTCTCTCTCTCTCTCTCTCTCTCTCTCATGTATCCAATATCGTCGCCGTCTAATCCCAACATATCGGTTTGGTTCTTTGTCTCTGTCTGCTAGGAACAGCTGCTTGGGTGTGTCTCTTCAGTCGGATTCTTCCTGCCATCACCACGAACATGTCGTCGTTTCCAATCAGTCTATATTTCAGTGTTTTCTTTTAGTTAATCATTGCGACGTTTTTATTATTATTTGTTTGTTGATAATGGTCTTGTGTGGGGTTGGTGGGTCATGTTCATTTAATCATCGCGTCTAATGTTAATGGAGTGCGTAACATTTCTTGTTTCTTGATTTGGATATTTGGACCACCACCACACCTAACAAAAGATTTCACACCCACATATCCATAATATCACATCATATCAATGGTTACGTGTATTGGCCGCCACTTGCTCGCTTAAGTTAGTTCCAACGTCCGCATCTCAACATCTCAGAGCTTATCCACGTACATATAAACTCGACCGTACCGGTCCGCCGAAACCCTAAAACGCACGTGCAAAAACAAACACCGACTGTGATCACTGATCAGTAATAACATGAGAAGCTTGAACCATGGGCGTCGTCAACCTCTTTGGTTTGGAAGAACTAGCATGCCATCAAAATATATGAGAGTACCTACTAGAAAGAGCTCGGCTTTACATGCAGACCAGAAGAATAGGTCGAACGGGACGATTAGAACAATGGGCATGAAATTGTTGCGTAAATTTTTAACGTACCCGAGAGTTGAAAGATTCATAATACTTCTGTTACGTGACTCGGGGATCCATACAGCTCGGAGATAGATTGAAGCATGGAGCCGAAACAGCAAAACCCTTTTTCCTTACCCTTTGAATTGCCATTCTCTACGGCACATGGGGCAGTGAGCTTGGCTCGTCTGGGAATTCACCCATTTCAAAATACAGTGAAGATGAAAGGCATGGTTGCAAGCTCCCCAAACTGAAAAATCGACCCACACGTAAGAAATGAAAAGCATGGTTGGCAAGCTCCCCAAACTGAAAGATCGATCCACACGTAAGAAAACGAAAAGAAAAACTGCCTAAAAGAGGAAGGTTTTCTCAAATTCGGAAAAAGTGTGACGCGGTTTCAGCATCAAATGATCATACCCAAGAGCTATATATAGAATAAAAGATGAGAAAAGGAGAAAGCTTACTAAGGGGGCAATCATCCCCAGGAAGTTTACAATCAGTACAGCAGCCGTCAAAGGCCATCCGGCATATACCGCACGTCTCATCTTGAGCATCCCATGTCCATAACCCTACTGCATGCCATCTGCGGCTCAAAATACGTTCAAAATGAGAAACAACGAGTTCAATATATAGAGCTCGAATGAGAGTTCATGATGGAACTGTGACTGTGACCATTGTAGAAGAGAGGTGCAGAAGCCAACATGGCAAGCAACTTACTCTGTTTTTCATGCCCACGAGATATCCATACTCCATAGCATAGATGGTCAAGGAAAACAATTTCATCTGAAACGGAATTGAAAATGCAAAGCATATTGCACCCATATAGAAGTAGAGAATTCATCAAATGATCCTGGAATACAACTTCACAAAACCATCAACGACGATCAAGAAGATTGCAATTCATAAACAAGATCACGAAAAGAGCAAAAGGCGATTATGAATTGTCACACCAGCTTGGACCAAATTGTATACCTTTGCGAGGCTATATACTAAAAGACAGCAAGGAATGGATTTAACTATCCCTTAACTATGTATCACTACAACTGCATTGTGAGTAGCGAGGCTATACGCAAGATCTTGACTTTCATAGCTTCCTCCCGAGAAACCCCCCCGAAAATCTTCTTCTTTCTATCAGACAGGACACAAGTGAAGACTGAGGTTAATCAATACAGCTTCAGTTCCAAGTTTTGGAAGTAAACAAGAACATGCATGATGCATCATATGTATGCCTAACACAGGACAGCACGAGATGGTGTATGTATCTACAGTCCAAATCTATCATAATTTAAGACGATTAAGCTGAATGGTTCGAGGGAAACCGGGAATTTCTACGTGGAATGTGAAACTGAAACAATTGGGAACCATGAGCAGACTTTACACCAAGAAACGCATTCTTCACTTGGTATCAAGATTCAAGAAGCAAGAAGAAAGACACCCCATGGAAACTCAGCAACTTCGTAGCTTAAGGTCGCAAGATATAAACTAAATTCGTAAACAATCATAAGCCAAATCTAGAAATCCGACTGAGATTTTCTTTCGCGAAGAGACACAACCCTCCGGTCCGTTTCCCGAGAAACTGAAGCAGAATAACCACATCCAAGAGAACAAAGCAAAATCATCATAAGAACAAAAGCCCGGAATAATCCCCTATCCATCGGAAATAACAATCAATCAGGAACGGGGAAAAAAATCCGAAAAAAGAAATGGGTTCAGAAGAAAAATACCCTAGAACCGACGAGAAAATTTCGCCGGCCAACGACGTCTTGACCCAGCGATTACAACAGGAACGTAACCATGGAATCGACGGCGAAGATAAGCGGTAGAAGGAAGGAGAAAAGAGAAGAGCTCTGGGATTTGAAAATGGCGGACACAGTAAAGCCTCCTCTTCTTCTTCTTCTTCTTCGAGTTGAGAATAAGAGCGGGT